AATCTTTTCCCAACTATTTTGCAATCTATATGGGACGGCTGTCAATCCTTTGGTCCTTAAATGAAACTGGTATACTTTTTTATTTATCACAGTTTTCTTTAACCAATTATGTTCTTTAATGCAAGGCCGACAGACAAGTTCCTTACTTTTTCCCCCTTCCACTTTCCTCTTCCATTTTTGTGGTAAGGCTGCAATTATTTGGTTGTAATTTTGGGTAGAGCAGACATTTCCATATGTTTTTGTTAGCTGCATGTGCATAACTCCACCAGTCCTACCTATGATATTATTTACGAAGATTATACCTTTTTTAAACATTTTATTTAAAAAAAAATGTTTTTGATCAATTAGTATATTTGAGTTTAACCACAATATTTGTTGCATTATTTGTTCTGTCGTTTCTGGAGGATTACATTGAAATTGCAACCAATTTTCTATGGCTTGTTTTAGAAATAGTGATATTTGGGAGATGATTTCCTTTTTCAAATAACTGAAAGTGAGAGGTTGTAATCTGAATAAAGGGAAAAAGGCCATTCTTGAACATTGGGTGAGACAATCTTGCTAATTTGCTAGAGAACCAGTTTGGATTTAAGTATAACTTTTGAATGACTGAAGCTTTTAGTGATAGGTCTAATGCTTTAAAATTTTATAATTTATATAAATAGGCCCGTTTAAATTTGTCTGGCTTGCCGTTCCAAATAAAATGGAGTATTTACATTTACATTTACATTTACGTAATTTAGCAGACGCTCTTATCCAGAGCGACTTACAAATTGGTGCATTCACCTTATAGCCAGTTCTTTCTCATATAATTTAACAAACTGTTTGCTAGGTGTAGGCAAGACCATAAGCAAATATGTAAACTGGGATAATACTAAAGAGTCAATCAGGGTGATTTTTCCATACATTTACAGGTATTTACCTTTCCATGTAGCAAGATCTTATCTATTTTTGCTAACTTTTCATAAAAATGTATTGGAGTGAGATAATTTATTTCATTTGGGATATGTATTCCGAGTATATCCACATCACCATCAGACCATTTTATTGGTAAACTACATGGTAATGTAAACATTTTATTTTTTAGTGATCCAATACATAATATAGTATATTTATCATAATTTGGTTGTAATCCAGAGAGGTTAGAAAATGTATCTAGATCCTCTATGAGGCTGTGGAGGGATTCAAGTTGTGGATTTAAAAGAAAACATGAATCATCAGCGTACAATGACACCTTTGTTTTTAAACCCCGGATTTCTAATCCCTTGATATTATTGTTGGATCTGATTTTAATAGCTAACATCTCGATGGCCATAATAAATTGATATGCCGATAGTGGACAACCTTGTTTCACTCCTCTTGACAGTTTAAACTTTCTGAGAAATAGCCATTATTTACTATTTTACACCTAGGGTTACTATACATGATTTTAACCCATTTTATAAGAGATTCTCTTAAATTGAAACGCTCCAGGCATTTATATATAAACCCCAGTCGTACTTTATCAAATGTCTTTTCGAAGTCTGCTATGAATAGCAGGCCTGGTTTCCCAGATTTTTCATAGTGTTCTATTGTTTCCAGTACTTGCCTTATATTATCTCCAATGTATCTTCCATGTAAAAAAAAACTGCCTGATTAGAATGAATAATGTCCGACAATACCTTTTTAATTCTATGCGCTATACATTTTGCTAGACATTTTGCATCACAACACTGAAGTGTAAGGGGATTCCAATTTTTTTTATGGACTGGATCTTTATATTTTCCACTTGTATCCTGTTTCAGTAATAATGAAATCAGACCTTCTTCTTGAGTGTCTGATAATCTACAATTTACATAGGAGTTGTTCAAACATGCTAATAACGGTCCTCTGAGTATATCAAAAAAGGTTTGGTATACCTCGACTGGTATGCCATCCAACCCTGGAGTTTTCCCGGCTTAAAGTCTTTAATTGCATCCAGAAGTTCCTCCTCTGTAATTTCACCTTCACATTAGTAAATTCATAGACTTTATGAAAATCATTTTTTTTAACCTAACTTGCTTACCACATTTTCCATGTGGTTTCTTTTTTCACAGACTCCATGAAATTATGACCTCTTCTTACATAAATATTTGTTCAAATCATTAATTTTGTGTATGGTTTCCTAGAAACAAGGGTGGCTCAACTTACCCCTTTGGCTCAGTTTACCCCACTCTCCCCTAAACAACAGGATAACTGCTGGCATTAACAGTTGCCACCCCCCACAAATATTTGATTTCACACGTTACCATAATAGCCATATGCTGCTACCTCTTCTTCTCCTCCTCCTACTACCACCACGACTGCTACATTAAATACTCATGCCAGGATGAAAAGCATTGCATGTCCTTTTCATAGCTGATAAATCAGCCAGGCTATTAATAATCATTGTAATAAAAATAAATGGTAAGCCCTATTTCACAAGAGAAGGAGATAGCAAGTTATGGAAATATTACATTGGAAATACAACATTGTACAAAGCAGTAGAAAGAAACCATGCTCTTATCTTATGGTGGCATTTCGAGTATACCCAAGAGCAGCTGATTCATTAGTATTCCTTGGGGACATGTTCCTCCTATCCTCTCATATACAGTATGTTAGTGATATTTCAACATAAAATCATGACTATATACTGTATTCCCCATAACTATAAGACAATGTAATGTGGTGTATGTATGTGCCTGCACCTGCTTCTCTCACAGAGAGGTCTGACATAAAAGCCTGGCGCCGCCTGATTCAAACCTGATCCAATCAGAGGAGCCCAGGAGAGCACCTGGAATAGCTTGACGATGACTCATAGTGTAAGTATGGATCTAGAATCTACCTACAGGAAAGACCAACTCATCAGCCCTTCAAAATGACCCAGGAAGGAGCACAAGTGTCTGTTTGTCAAGTTAGATCACTCAGGTCAGCAGCTTTGGGAATTACGGAACACTGAAACACTCTGGCTTGTTAGAGAGAGTTCAATGCCAGTGGTATCCTTTTAGGTATTGTACTACTTTGTGTGATTTAAAAAAAACATGTAGACAGGCTATTGTACAACATACTGTAAAAGATGTAGCCCGAGGAAGTCAGTCTTTATCATTGGTGGCACACATCCCAGAATCCTAGGAGGTTGTCAAAGCAATAATGCAAATCTGGGGATTAGGTGGAAACATTTTAGAGGGTAGAACTATAAACTATTCCAGTGCTTATGCAGTGATTGCTGTGAATTAACCATTCAGTATTAGACCTCAGTTTACGTATTAGCAGGAAGACAGATTCAATCAACTCACTGCCTGAGAGCATTCACCACACGTTCAGACAGAGAGACAGACAGACCCCTGAGGGATCCAGTTGATTGGCCAATTAGGATTACAATAGATAGCTGTCCACAAGAAATCAGCACTTCCATTTAAAAAGTAAAACTGGCTGCAGGCAGGCAAATGAAGGGCTGTGGGCCCTCAAAGGGTGTAACAAGTGAGTGCTGATCAATATAGCCAGCCTGTGTTAAATTTCAAGTTTGTTTGGACAGGTTCACAAGGAGCAGGTCCAGCCTTGAGTCTGGGTTGAGTCATCCTTCATTCTTTCTACACCTCCATCATGGAATGAAAGCATGAAAGCAGACTGGAGCAGGAGCCTGACTTCTGCTGTTGTATGTTTAACTTTGAAGCAGTTGGAAAGTTACCTTATAAAGTAGACTATGACTCCACAAAAAGGTTGTTATCATAGTAATGCCAGGCTAGTAGTTTCAGAGAAAGTAATAAAAAGATTTTAACTTGTATACTGATAAAAATCTAAGGTATATACATCATACATGATGTGATACATGTTAGTTAGTATATTTATTTTGTTACTAATCTCATAAAGTTAAATTAAGAAGACATGTTATAACACATTTTCTAGAATATCCAGCAAGTTCATGGCACCATGCCATGATGGATCCCTGATAACAAACTATTCACCGTCCTTGCACAGAAAAAGAAAATCAAGCATTTACAAACATTTCATGAATCTTTATTTTAAAAAGCATCTTAAAAATAATAAAATCATTCATTCAGTATCACGATTCACACTGTCAAAAATACAATCATCTTATTCACACTTACATTCAAATATATAAAAATATAAATGCAAAAAATTGTTTTAGAAAAACTACATAATTGCCCAGGCGAAGTGAGGCACTTGATAAAAGTATTGCTATCTTGAGCAAAACAGTTACTGTGTCATGATTGTGCAGGAATTGTAATACTTCCACCCTAAAAATAAATCTTTGCACTTGTTCCCTAAATTATGATGGCTTCTAATATTCCATTGGCTGTGCACTGTCTGTCTCTATCGTTTGTTACCATACACCATGTCCACTTGGAATAACTATGTGGTTTCTTAAGAAAATAAAAAGATTATGACATAACCAGAAACATATCCTCTAATAGAGATTGGTCAGAACATCAAAATGTTTGAGAAGGCACATTATTTAAAATCTCTCCACTTCCCAAATGCAGGGGCGCAACTTTCATTCTGAAATGGCATTTTTGTCCCCCCCAGTTTTATCATTGGAATGTGATACAAAACTAGGCAACGGTGTGCTTTAGGACCATGCGGACGCCTCCGAGTGGTCGGGTAGGCTGTTTGGAGTGTTTATCTGACTGGATAAAAATATATAATTATGTCCCCCCCCACTTCTAAAACCAAAGTTGCGCCCCTGCCCAAAAGTATATGAAAAGTACAGACAGAATGGCACATGGTATAACAAACATACTGTATAGTTCAACACTGATTGCAATAGGAGAAAAAATAACTGCTTAAAATGAAAAGCACATGACAGACAGAGTATTTGTTTTTTTACACTGAAATGAAATGGATTGTCATTCAGGCAGTCAGTCAAAGAAAGTCTTGCATATTTGGTAACAAAGCCTCAGTATGTAATATCCCCTGAACAGTTATTGAGGACTGGAAAGTACCGGAGGGCTCTGGCGGTGGCACTGCATCCCAGTCCAGTAGTCTCAATGTGCTACACAACAACCAGATTCCTCATGCTTGTGCAGAAGAGACATTCTGGAGAAGGTTTTGGAACAGTTCTTGCATTGGTATTTTTTCACATCCGAATGGGTTTGTAGGTGAGCCCTGAGGTTGGACCTGTCCGCAAAAGCCCTACTGCAATGGGGGCAGGAGAATGGCTTCTCTCCTGTCAGAGGGGAAAGGGAAAGAAATGTGTCAGTATTCACAAGCAGACAAGATATACAAAACAAACACAACTATCCACTAAACTGATATAGGCCTAATACTGTATGAACTATTTGCTCCATAATCAACTGTAATAACTTAACTAGAGCATGGACTTATACAGTTACTCTTATTGTGCACTGTAAAAGTTAAGAATCACTAGAGGAAAGCCAAATTCCTTCTTCCCTGACTTTATGTCAAGGATGAGATATGGCTTGACATAAGAGTCTGAATCTTTTAGCTTACTTTGTGAAGAGTATGAATCAGAACATGCAATGTTGTTCAACATGGAACAACAAATGTATGTCCCAAGTCTTGTAAAGTGGTGTGAAAACCCCTCCTTTAACATGAGTTACCACTTAACACATAACTGTTTTGACAGGCACATAGGGAATTGCAGAATTGCAATGCACTTTGCAATATGTATATGATAAATACATTTAAAGTCTGTTAAAACCCATTATCATAAATAATACATCCCATAAATTGCACAGTTATCCTAAATTGGAATAGCCCACCATGCAGCTATCTTCAATATTTCCAAGTATAGGCTACAGTACAGTATGGCACTCCAAATCTTTAGTCACTCACCGGTGTGCGTTCTGATGTGTCCCTGAAGCAACCACGGTCTTGAGAAAGCTTTGCCACATATTTTACAGACACAAGGCAATGTGTGAGTTCTTATGTGCATTTTTAGCGCTCCAAGACTGACGTACTCCTTTTCACAGTATTTACAACTGAAGGATTTCCTCGTCTGAGCGTCGCAGTGCAGTTGCTTATGCTTCAGCAGTCCAGAATAAGTAGAATAGGACTTGTTACACAAACTACATTGGAATTTCTCTGCCTCCACTCCATGAGGGTCTGTGAGTTGGGTAAGCATCCGCTCGTCTTCATCGCTCCTGGGACTCTCAGAGCCGCTGTGGTCTTTGGATGAGGTGTCAGAGAGCGATGAGGGGTATCCAGAGATGGGAGAAAGGTCACTTGAAAGCGGAGATAACGGCAAGTTGCTCGTAGTCCATACTGTGATAGGGTTGTAAGCCACCGAGCTAAGGATCTCCGGTTGAGGGATGACAGGCAATGGAAGGCCCTTGTAGAGATACGGTGAAATAAATACTGAAAATGGAAATAAAGAGAACATTCATTTACGTGATTAAAATTAACTTTACTGCACAGTAATAATAGGCCTATATATGTCAATTTATAATTTCCTCCAAAAAGAGCTGAATAAAATCGCCTCACTAAATAGCACAGATTAGAAAGTTACAAAGTAACACTAACTTTGACATAGAGATACAATGAAACTACATATAAGGATAATAGCCTGACCGCAGTCATTTTGTAAACTTTGTAGCATGTCAGTGTAATCCATGTATCTGTTGAGCGATGCATTTAGAAAACGTTGTTGCTTTACCTATAGGGCTTTCCAGCTCGCTATAATTTGGCTTCTTAGAGGAGTTGAAATGTTTCTTGACAAGAAACGAGCGTGGCATCTTGGAAAAATAAATGGGACTGAAACTTTGGAATAACACTTTTTTGGTAAATATAACGGTCCCCTCAGGGTGCGACAAATCACTGCAGAGACGGAAATCCTTATTGCATAGTCCAGTGAAGTGTCATCGTGTAGCGCAGAGAGTGCTGTTGTAACAGTACAGCAGGCAGCAGTAAAGAGCTGTAAATACTCCCTATCAAGTGCATGGGAGGAGTCTCACAAAACTCATTTACATATCAGGGGTCTTCAAACCAATTAAAAACATATTTTTTTTACACGTAAGTTTGAAATGGGCGGAGTCAAGACCCACCCTCATGCTAAACAGGTGTTTTTGTGTGTGGCGTGGGGAGGTTTGTAGACTAGTGGTGGTGGTGGTGTTTGGGCGTGTAGCTAAACACAGCTCTAATCTAAGGATGCATACCAGTGCAATCATCGGAATGTGCAGGTTGTTGGTAATGAGCGTTGTGTGTTGCATAGCTCAGAAGGAATGAAAATGGATAGCCTGTGCAATGGCATGGAGGACTAATTTAATTTAAAGGGATAGAATTGTAAAAACACATCTGCATGGTATTAAATGATATTGCTCCCTATGTGCTACAGCATACACACGTTTGATTATCTATTTATTTAGACCTATAAAAAGATATGTATCCCATTTCCCCAATACAATGATGACATGTAGCTAAATACATGCACTAAAAGGTGGAAACCAACTCTGTTCACATTGTCATTGAATGTGATTGTCCTCAGGGAAGCGTCCTCTGACGTCGGTGTATGCAGGCAGTAAATCATACATTTCCTTGCCAATAACCCAATAAGGTATTCTTCCTTAAAATGTAAATCTAACTATAGTTGGTTTTCAAGGTCAATCTCAACAGCATAATCACATTTACCTCTGCTGAGCCTGCTGAGCTGAGGCTGAGGAGGGGAAGGGAACGTATCACCCTACGCCCCCTTGTGTCCAGTTAACTCTTGGCAATGGCTTTATTTGGCGAAAATAATGAAACAAAGGATGAATATTAATAGTTAGCATAGCAATTAAGATTGGCAAATTCATCAGATTTTTTAATCTTATTGCGGTGCTAACTTAAAGATATTTGTGAACTGGTTATTTTATCTTCAAAACCTAATTGGAGACAAATAATTTCCGTTTGTTACTGGCTAAATTATAGAGGGGACGAGGGGTTATCTGTACATAATTACTTGGATGGCTCCACATTTGATCGATGTTGTCACCTGACCTAATGTTCCAGCACATTGGATGAAGCTGTCTTGAAAAACATTTGTCTGACAACACACTGTAAATAGATGTGCGGCTCATATGTTTATTTATGTTTGTATTTTTGCATGTTTGAATGTTGGTGAGTGTTAAGTACTTTCTGATATATAGTTTTTTCTAAATAAAGAACAACAGCAACAAAAACACAAAGTAAACGTGGCTACCTTTTACATGGTAAGAAAGCACCAATGTTTCACAAAGGTAAGCTGAGATTTTGGACGAGCTGTTCTGCACTTAAAACATGCCTTTATTGAGAAAACACAAGTCAACACTGCAGGTTTCCACATATAAATCAACATGGATACCCAATATACAGGTGTTACTCACAGGTTGTACTGTAGTGGGATGTGATGCTAAAGCATGTTGGTGTGCATCCTCTTCAATCTAATCAGGTCATGTTCAGGGCAGAAAAGTGATAAGCTGATTACATTTTCTATAAATATTATCAACAATCATTTTGAAAAGCACCTGAAACGACAAGAACTCATTTGTGAAAAGAGGATCAAGTCCTTACCTGTGAGATGACATCATGACTAGGAAGCCTTGCTATGTGGAGCATAAGATAATAGCGTTCACATTCACATTACTGTTTTATACGGGCCATTTTAACTCTCAGGTCTATGATGCTCAAATTGGTTCCACTTTACATCAAGTGTGTATAAAACTGGTAATTCGCATGGCAATGCAATACACTTACGAAGCTGAATGCAATTACATGGTAACACAATACACTTACAAAGGTGAGTGCAAGTTCTATGTAACAACATAATTTTATTACAATGTAATAACACCGTTATTACACAGGTATAAGCTCAACTTCATGCAAAGTGTTAGACATTGGGACAGTGTGTTGTGCAGAATAAAACAGAGACACTATTGGAATCGTCTAGGACTACATATGGGCCTGTAATCTCTATATATGGCTACAGCCTACATAGCTCTGATTGCATGACACCTGCAACTGGGAAACCTGCACAGCTGCTTACGCAATAAGGGCTGCAGGGTAGAGGATTTCAAGGCACTGAATTCAGCTGTCTGTGAGGAGCTGCAAATGAGTTTCCTGATCTGCTGTGAGATACACACTGAATCCTGAATAGCCTACCTTCTCTGAGTGGCAGAGAAGGTAGGCATAACTGAGAGGGAGACCATCTAGCCCTGATAACGGGTTAGGAATACGTTTTCTTGATATGTATTCTAGGCTAATATGTTGCACAATAGACTACTTTAAAAATCACAGTTTTGAAGGGAAAAAATGTTGGAACCGGCTCCTTTGAATCTGCTTTTGCATTAATTTGCCTCCACTGCAGGCTGATAGCAGCTCCGGGTCCCATTCAACGAAACCATACCGCAGTGCTCGCCGATAATTGCCTGTAAAAGCGCTCCTTGCAGCGGAGACCTTTGGTTGGACTTATCTTAGGCTATGTACATAATAGATGCTCTTATTCAACAGTGAAAGTAATTTCACATTATATTTCAACATCGGGAGAGATGTGAGAGCTCAGTGAGTAGCCTAAATGAATAACTGAGGCGACTGACGTGAGTTGAAACAAATCGCATGTGATTTTCAGCCTGTCATTTTGGCACCAGAGCGCACCGTAAGGAAACATGTGAAACAGTATTCCATGCCTTGCTGGAAATGACTGTCGACGGAAAGGATGCCCTGTCTTGTTTCTGCATGAGAAATATGGAAAAAGACACGTTTTTCGTGTAAGTGTGGGATGCTTAACGGTTTTTGCACATTGCCTCAGTGTATTGGATATCGTGGGCGACCGTGCCAGGATACGTTGTGATTTTGCAAAGATTTTTTTGAATCTGTAGCCTTCATTCAATAAATAAACACATTTCAGGACAGATTGATGTGAGGGGCCGACTGGATCCAATATTACATCACACCTGTTACCAGAAAATCAGGTAAGCTAGACGTTCTAGTCAACCACTCATAGGGTATGTATATTGTATAATAGCCTACAATTCAATTTGCATGTAAGATAATAATGGTGGCTATCATGTAGCCTATGATACCTCTAAAAACGTTCACTTTTATTTATAAGCCATTTGTAGCCTATCACTACTATATAGGTTAATTGCAGTATAATACGCTCATGATCCATCATCTAATATCTAATAAGTAGCCTAACAATCTATCATCATTGGCTCTCACATTTGCGTAATGCACGATGGGGAACCGTTAATTCAGATTATGATAAAGGACCTATTAAGTGTAAAATATGCAATGAATTCAGGTTGCAGGATGCAGTAGTCCCTCATATTGCCTCAGAGGCTCCGACATGTCCAAATGTATAGGCACCCGCAGTTCCCCCAGCTAGGTGCCGTGTCAGTCCTCTTTCTGTCCACAATGATGTAAAGCAAGGTTGAAGTACAGAGGCTATACACTGCCCATATCAACATTGTCCGTTTAAAATAGACTAGTAGATGAGGGAATGCTGCTGTCACAGTAAGATTATTGTTGGTATCAATACCATTCCAGTTTTCTACATGGTTATAGCCTACTGGTTGTTAATCTTCTGCAGCTAATAATGTGGAATGCATGCAATCAAACCAGCCGGGCATAATATTACCAGCCCCATGGCAACCCAACTATAGACTGCATTCTGGTTGTAATACCTTTTAGGACAGTATTTAGATTTACTTGAATACCCCGTTGGAATGTATATTATCCATTATAGAATAGATATATAAGATTTCCACTCTTCTTACATTAGTAATGTTTGATAAAGAGAGGGCAAGTCAACTTAATAACTTGACGGGTCAGATACAGTAGGTATCATAAGTATTCACCCCCCTTGGATTGTTTTCACATTTTGTTGCGCTACAAAGTGGGATTGAAATAGATTTAATTATGATTTTTTGGGGGGTCATTGATCTACACAAAAAACTCCATAATGTGAAAGTGAAAAGAAAATTCTTTAAATATTTACAAAGTAATACAAATTAAATAACTATAATATAATTGTTGCAACCCTAAATTAATTCAGGAGTCAAATTTGGCTTAACAAATGACATAATAAGTTACATGGACACTCTGTGTGAAATAATAGGGGTTGACATAATACAACATCTGTAAGTCCCTCAGTCAAGTGTTGAATTTCAAGCACAGATTCAACTACAAAGACCAGGAAACCTTTCCAAAGCCTTATAAAGAAGGGCAGTGATTGGTAGATAGGTAACAATAACAAATTAGACATTGTATATCTCTTTAAGCATGGTCAAGTTAATAATTATGCTGTGGATGATGTATTACACCACCCAGACACATCAAAGATACAGTTGTCCTGAACTGAGGTGCAGGACAGGAAGGAAACTGCTCAGGGATGTCACCACGAGGCCATTGGGGATTTTAAAACAGCTGCAGAGTTCACTGGCTGTGATGGGAGAAAACTGAGGATGGATCAACATTGTAGTGACTCCACCTAAATGAGTGAAAAGAAGAATACAAATATACAGAATACAAGGCACAAGGCACTAAAGTAATACTGCAAAAAAACACGGGAAAGGAATACCATTTTTGCCCTAAATGCAAAGCCTTATATTTCGGGCAAATCCAACACAACATATCACTGAGTAACTGCCTCCTTATTTTCAAGCATAGTGGTGGCTGCATCATGGTATTTGTATGCTTGACATCAGCAAAGACTGGTTAGTTTTTCAGGATAAAAAGAAACGGGATGGAGCTAATCACAGGCAAAATCCTAGAGGAAAAC